AATAATAATAATAATAATAATAATAATAATAATAATAATAATAATAATAATAATAATAATAATAATAATAATAATAATAATAATAATAATAATAATAATAATAATAATAATAATAATAATAATAATAATAAGCAGTAATAATAATAAAAAGTGATTCCGCTTTAATTTTCTTTTCTTGCCTATTCATTCCTTTTTTCTGCATTACCATCATCATCATTATCAAAATCATTGTCACCATTACTATTATCATCATCATCATCCATATCTTTTTTTCTCTTTTTTTCTTAAATGTTTTGATTGTAAAGAAGCATTAACATTATCAGATTGTGAAATCATTGCTAGTTACCTAAATGATATTTGCATAATCATACATAGATTGCTTAATTTCAATTTAAACATAGCCATGAAATTTTCATAATGTAAGCTTATTACATACCTAAATCTAATTAAATTCATATGATTCAGGTTAATTAAGGGGCTTAATTAGTTGGCCGTCAAAAAAACAAATGTAAGGGTTGGAAATTTGAATTAATTTACATTAAATATTATATGAGAATCTTTTTTTTTAAATATCAATTAAAAATTATAATATATCTATCTGATTGATTGGATTTTTTAACAGTTAAATGTTAAATTTAATGATATGAGAAATGAAATGATATTAAATGAGGGTAAGATAGAGATGAAAAAGAGGTAGATGAAATGAAAGAAGAAAAGAAAGCGAAAAGAGAGAGAGAAGAGAAGAGAATGGTGCGGTAATTTGTCGTAAAACAAAAAAGAAACATATTTGAATGCATTTCATGATGATAGTGATGTAGGCAACAATTCAGTTGAAATTTTACTAAAATGTTGTTTATATATGCTTGTTTAAAAGTGAAATCTCATTTTGAAAGAATATGAAATCGAAAGATTGAGAGTAAGCTTGAAAATAGATTATAAATAAATGAGGAAGAAAGTGGAGAAAGAATGAAAGAAAAAGTAAGGATAGAAAGAAAAAAGAAAAAGTAAGAGAAAAGTATTTTGTTTGATGTATATGTAAGCATTTCGTTTATAAAAATGCGTTTTTTTTTTCTTTAAAACTATAATCAAAGCATTAATCATTTTTTGCTAAAAAAAAAGTTCAGTTGAAATAAATCCCAAATTTGGAGAATTTTGAATGATAAAGATGAAAGATAGATGAAGAGAAGAAAAGATAAAAAGAAAAAGTGGGAAAGTTTTTGATTCCACTCATCAATTCTAACTCATTTTTCATTTCTTCCCTCATTTCAATCTAAACTTTTTCTTTTTTTATTTCAAATGAAAAAGTCCTCTTCATCTTTAAGTTGTTTCATATACAAAAATAACAAACATGAACAAAAAAAAAAAAACGAAAAAAACTTTATTTAACCCATTAATCTCTTTTACATTTCCGCCCTTTTAATTTTTTCTTTGTTTTTTTCACTTCCAAAAGAATATTTTTTTTCATAAAAAAATTAACATCTTGTTAATACAGCTATGATAGACGGTTATTTATTATAATTGATTTTACTAACAAAGGTATTTTCTTCATAATAACTCTTATCATGATAATATTTTAAACAGATATTATCCAGTGCTATCACTATGATAACTTTATCAAGTCTTAGCTATAGAACTACTTTACATACATGTCACATTGAGCTCAATTGCTATCTTCTACTAATAGATATTTCATTTAATTTACGTTGATTTGCATAATTAAAGGATCAAGGAAATCGTCATCAAAACATGATAAATGATATGCCATTAAAGGTATATTTCGAAAAGAAATTTACAAATTAAAAATATTTTGAATTGGAAAAATTGCCAAAATATCTAATTAAATAAATTGTTAATTGTATTAAAGAAATTCAAAGTTACACAGTAATGCATTTTACATTTGAGTATTTAAATATATATGTAAAAACTTTTGATTTTTTTGTTTTTTATAAAATTAGTATGTCATGCAAACATTCAAAAAATGAACTTATAAAAATAAATAGTAAAATTATTAAAGTAAATGCATATGAATGATGAATATATTATTAACTTGAAATGCTAAATTATTGATATGAGAAAATGAAACAAAATTTAATTTAAAAAGTTTAATGAGAGGAAAGAAAAAAGAAAAATCAAACAACAATTTAAAGTTGAATTATTCATCAAAATGAACAAATTGAAATCAAAAACAAATTAATTTTATTACAAAAAATTTAAATTGAAAAACATACATACACACAGTTTATAATTGCTAAATTGTTTATGTGAAATATATTTTTTTATTTCTTTTTTTTTTATTTTCTCCACTTTTCTATCTTACTAACAAAAAAAAAAAAAAAA